TGTTCTTGCCTCTACCTTGGTAGTGCGGGCATCTGGCAGAAGACCTTCCTGAGCTAAACACACACCCAGCCAAGGAGTTGGGGAAGTTAAAGGAGAATCTAGGGGAGGTATATATAGCAGCTATAAGGCTGGCTTCTGCCACCCACCAATGATGATAAGGAACAGCCCATTCTGCCCCCTGAAACCTCATACAAGGATCTCTCTTGGGAGTCCCCTCCCCAAATGTAAACACACAGGGAAGGGAATTCTGGGCAATATCCTTCAGCTTAACCAGGCTGCCACAGCATGAAGCCACTGACCCTGGTTTCTTTATAGTACTCCATGTGGCCCCCCATCTTTGTATGCCCTGACAAGAACAAGAGTTTATTTAGCACATTTTAGTGATTCTTGATTTGATACTGTGATACAGGTAATTTTTGTTTTTTTCATTCTTGTACAGAGAGTGAGACTTATCCACTGCTTTTTTTTTTCCCTTCTCTCTCTCATTGCCACCCACATGCCAAACCACTTTACTCAACTGATCTTCTTTAACTGTCCCCCATTTTTTTTTCTGTTATAGGTCAAAAACCTTGAAATTCAACATTATTAACTCCTATTATGAAGATAAAAATCTCAAAGTTGTTCCAGTTTTGCAGGATAACATCTGGGTTTGTTTGTTTGTTTTTTAATAAATAAAGTAGTCAAAATGTACATGTTAGCAGGACACCATTGCAGCTTAATAACTCTCAAGTAAAAAAAAAAAGAACTTCTGAGAAAAGCATAGATAATGAAAATGCTTAGCATATATTCATCTCAGAGGGAGGACTGGAATCCACATGGCCTCTGCTCACACTTCTGTCCTGTCACCTCTTCCCCATATGTAATGCAGCTCAGGAATCACTTGGCAACACTGGCTCCTTTCTCATTTGCCTTTGGGGAGCACAAAGTCTGCTGTGAAGAATTGGAGGCAGGAGAGACTGCTCTCTAATAAGGGGTTCGTATTCAGGGGAGTTGTGGGGCTGACACAGGGACCTCAGTGCAAGCTCCCTCCCACACACCCAACCATGATGGTTTTGAATCGTTTTCACCATAGTACCTTGGGTGAGGTGTGGTGAGGTCAGGCACTGATCAAGAGAAAGAAAATAGTTTGAGTTTTCTGTACTCAACAGCTCTCAGAGGAGAACACATCAGGCCACCAAGCGCCACTCAGGGGAAGCACCAGTTTGGTCAAAAGGCAGAGCAATGGGTAACTGTGGCCAAGCACCTTTATTCTGGTCTTTGCGGAAAGGAAAGTGTTAGATGAGGCAAACAGGTTTAGGATTGGCTAATTGGAATAATTTCACTAGGCTCTAGTTTCCCAGGGCTATCCCAGGATACCTGATCCTTGACCCTGGCATAATCTGAGTGGGTGTATGGTGGTCCAGAGTATATAATTCAGATAAGGGAGATGTTTGGTGTTGTGGACTTAATGGGTCATTCCAGAAGAACTAACCACCTTCTAGCCAGGGCCTCAAAACTGGATCAAGATACATCTCATACAATCTTGTATTACAGCAAGCAATATTTTTTCAAAAAATATATGTAAATGATCATACATTTTGTTACTTCTCTGATCCCCAAACTTTAATACTTCCCATTGATTCTCTTGGGATGAAATATTTCATCATTCAGAAACTGTATATATATAATAATTGCTTTTTAAAGAGTTGAAAAGCACCACATGCAGTCCAAATGAAGTTTTCTGACTTTCCTGAGCCCCACAGAAATGAAGGCATCTAACTGTACATAGTTTTGTACATAGTTTTGTATACAGGCATCTTCTGTACATAGTTTCTAATCAAGCTAAAAGCTTACAACTCCGAATGAAAACAGAGAGACCTAGTTCACTAATGTCCAAGCCAGGGCTTTTTTCTTGCTCACCCTGATGAGGAGGTGGTCAAAGGGACTGCCCAGTATCACCCAGTCCACCAGCAGTCTTTTGCTAGGCCAAAAAAACCCCCCACAAAAACAAACCGAATTCAAGCAAGTAACTATTAAGCTTAGAGAGGTGCCATAATTCCTCTTTCACTTCTTAATATGAAGTGCTATTTGAAATAACTGTAAAGTAATCCCTGAAATGACGGCAAATAACCCAAGGGGCCAACCTTCTGGGGTGATGACTTACTTCTTGAAGCACTGGTGCTACTTCAAAGTACATTTTTCTTTTTTTTTTAAATTAACATAAAATTGGCATATAACATTGTATTCATGTCAGGTGTAGACATAATTCAATATCTGCATATACTACAAAGTGACCACATTTCTAACTACCATACAACTGACCTCTTTCACAAAGGTGTATTTTTCTGTATTGGTCAGGAAAATTCTTCAGATGAGGTTGTGACTGCTGCACCAGCCTTCATTCCACTTGGGTTATCTCATCCCTCAATCTCTGCCTACTAGAGCACCTGACCTCAGGGAGAAACATTACATTTGGACAGGCTCTATGCTGCTGCTGGACAGTTCAATTTGCTCTTTTACTTCATTCTTTCCTTCTCTCAATGGGAAAGGAAGCCAGAAAAGGGGCTCATGAGCCAGCCTAGAAGATTTCTCTCTTTTGGGTTCAAGAGTGCAGCATTTAAGAGTGCGTACCACAGAACCAGAGTGCTTCAGTGTGCCATCTATAGGTGTCTGTGACTCTGCACTTCAGTTCCTTTCCACTAAATGGTGATGGTAGTAACATCTACTGCTGGATTGCTATGATGTTAAATGAAATTGAGTATTCAGAAGCAGTGCAAACCACAGTGAAGGTGCAATACATGTAAACTACTGTAATCCTCATTGCTATCTGACAGGTACTATGGCTTTGAATAAAAGCCTTCTCTGAGCCTCAGGGATCCTGCCTACCCATTAGCACTCTCCTGGGGAAGGTGTGGGGGTGGGGGGGAGGGCAAAGCTTAATGGGTAAAGTGTTCTTTCAAGGGGGTATTAACTGGATAATTTTAATAGACTCCAGACAATACAAACTTCGGTACTATTTGTTATGGATGAGTGGCTTCCACAGAGGAGCCTATATCTGAAACTTAAAAATATTTATTGAAAGGAATTAAATTTGTGATAATCTATTTACATAAATAACAGGGAATAAAAAGGCAGGTCAGTCTCTGTGAGAGGGTACATCTTGGGGTGATCTTCACTTGTGGTGAATTCAATTGTTTTTAAACCACAAACATTAAAGGTGCATCTCTCTGTAGGTACTCCCAACAACCAAAAAAACCACATCTCACCTAAGCTCTTTAGATTTCAGAGCTTAGATGAGACACCTTTTGTGGACACAGAGGTGAAAAGAATGGAGGCCCCTAAGACCCTACAGCTGAGGTGGTCCAAGTAGACCGGGTGTGGGCAAACATTTTCCACTTGGTGAGATGGACATTTGTGGTAAAGGCCTGGATCTGTGGTACCAGTATGAGCAATTCCAGCCCTCACTGTGAAAGAGGGTCTACATGTGACCATGCTGGTTCCCATCTCTGGAAAAAAGCATAGTGGGCACCTGTGATGACTCCTAAAACCAGAGGGAGGCTCATAATCAGGCCAAGGTCTTAGTCTTTCATTCAGTGAAGCCTTCAAAGATTATTGCATCGTTGATGAATAATGGAGAACTGTCAGACTTGAAGGGATTTAAGAGCCCGTTTGGCTGAGTCTCTCTTAACGGACTACCTGAAGATAGCCTCTTGGACCTGGCTTCACCGTCTCTTCATTCTGAAGCACTACTTTTTTGATATAATTTTAATATTTGCCTCAGATTGGCTGCTTGCATTTTCTCTCCAGAACCAGACTTTATACAGTGTGAGCTGTGATGGCGTCATCATGGGATTTCTTAAGAACACTTGATTTTTGCAGGACCCATTTTCTGTAATTTTGTCTTAATTTTCTCCTTGTACCTTTTCACCTCCTCTGACAGCTCTTGCTTTTACTTTACCCATTTTTCTTTCTTGGAGTCAGCTTCTTTTGACAAACCACTCTTTACTATTGTCATCCACTCATAATCTGCCACTATTCCAAGCATTCCCCCAATGTAACGAGTGATTGTAAAATAATTTGGTCTGCTAAACCTGTAATGAATGCCTTGACCTTTTCCTATTTATTTATGAAGAGTCTCCAAAAATTAAAATGGTAAAAATTACTAACCCCATAACATATCAAGAAAATCTCCACCGGGTAGCCATTTCCACCCACCCTGTAGCCTAAGGTGTTCTGTGACTGAAAACTTTGCATTCTCCCTGGATCTTCTGGGTCACCTTCAGGGACTGGGAGTTTTCAGCCCAAGTGATAATCATGTGAGCCACCTCAGTAAACCCGTTAATCCTTCCCTAAATCCTGCAATCGGAGCCGCCTTTATCTGTTTCGGTGTTTTCGGTTCCCTATTTCTTCCTCGACAGGAAATAACTCATTTTCTTCTCACGATGGTCTTCAATCGTCTTCAATCCAGGAATCCTTAAAGCTCTGTTTTGAGAGGGACTCTCCTGGTCCGTACATTTCGGAGCGCAATTATACTGTTGATCAGACACTCCCCTCCTCCCCCGCCCCACAAGGGCTCCCACAGGTCTTGCAGCTCCCATCCCAACACCGCCCGCTTCCACATCCCCCGGCCTGCCTCGCGCCCTGCCGACCAATCCCTGGCTCCGCTCCATGCGCGTCACAATAGCGCCCTCGCAGCCCCGCCCCCGGACGCCGGCCGCGGAGGCCCCGCCCCCCCGCGCTCATTGCGTCCTTCCGGCTCCGTCGTGGAAGTCGCCCTGCGCCGCGTCTTCCTGGAGAAGAAGGTGGGGTTCCGCGGGGAAACCGGCCGGCAATTACGCCGGCAGCCGGAAGTGGGGTGGGGGCGCGGGCTCCCGGGCTGTTGCTCCTAGGTGCTAAGGTACAGGGCCAAGCGGGGATCGGGCAAACCCAGAACAGCGGGGTAAACGCCGCGTGCGCCCGTCGGGCGGGAGTTGTGCCCTCGGGCCGGAGTTGTGCCCTCGGGCCTGCCGCGCGCCAGACCCGGCCCCTCGGAGGCCCCGCCCAGGGCGCGCTGCCAGGGGTTTCCATGGTGATGGTAAACAAGCCTCAACTGCCTCAGCTACAACTGCCAAGTTCCCCGCGTTCCACCCTCCTCTAGGTGCTCAGAGGGACGATCGAGGTGCCGGATGTGAAGAGCGGGAGCGTGGAGACTCGGATCCCGAGGTGAGGGGCGGGACGGGCGGCGGGTCCGAGGCTGAGGGCCGCACAACTGGGACCGACCGAGAACTGGGCTCTTGAGTATGGGGACAGTGGGACTGGGATTTGGAGTCAGGGGAGGCTAGGTCTGAAATCAAGGGCCTCACATATGGGAACCAAATGGGGACTGGGGACGACGAGGTTGAGAGTTGGGGTCGGGAGAAGTAGAATATGCGGTCAAAAGCCGGTTACTCGGGTACAGACCGGGGACTCGGCTCACTGGGGCTAGGGGTGGCGGGGCTGAGAATTGGGGTGGGAGGAGGTGGGATCAGAGGTCAACGGCCTTACACTCGGGTGCTGGACCGCTGGGCTGAGATTTAGGACCGGGGGGAGGCCGGGCCCGCGGCGAGGAACGGAGGAAAGGCCTGGTGCGGACTCCAGAGGTCGCAGAGCTTGAGCACCCCTGCCAAGAATAGCGTGAGGCACCTGGCGACCGTGGGAGGGGGGCTTCATTTAAAAATGAAAGCAGTACTTTCACGTGGTTCAGTTGCACCAGACTGGTTGGGAACTGGCTCCTCCCCCCTCCCACGTTCCCGCTCGCTGAGCCTCCACTTTCGGTCTTTGCGGCCTTTTCTTCCTCTCCGTGCGGCGTGTGTCCCTGAGCGCCAGTCTGCGTTTTGTCTCCTGCTTTTAGAGGTATAGTGCCTGCATTTTGGGTAGAAACTCTCGCTCACGTTATCTTTGCCTGGTGACCACACTTCTGCCGAGCAAGCTTAATCTTTTCTTTGTATCCTTGAATATATTTTTTGCTGATTCTTGATTGCGCCTGAGAAACTTCTGGAGTCTGCCGGTGCTCGCGCTGCGCCCTCTACCTTCAGCGTTCCCGCGTGGTTCTCTGAAAGTGGCGCTGGCCGGCCTGGTGACGCCGAGCGAGTCGCGGGGACTCGACCGACCCTGTTCTTTTATAGACCTGGTTGGGAGGCCACAGGCCCCTCCCCGTTGATTTGTGCCTTTAAGGAGGTCTCAGGTTCTTGCCAGAGAAATCCCCAGGCCCGGGAGAGGCCCCCTCCCCAACTCCAGCACGACCTCCACCCCCGCCCCCGCCCGGCGCCCCGTGGGTCCCGGCCTTCCTGCCCGCTGGAAGCTCTTCGCAGTAGTTTATTTCCCCGAGGCCCTAGGACAGACAAACGTGCTTCCTTCTGTAGTTCTTTCTACTATTGGCGGGGGGGGGGGGGGCTTCGGGCTCCTTTCTGCCCCTGCGGGCCGCATGCGGGGCGGGGGGGGGGTCCGCGAGCCGCGGCGCGCTAAGGGGGGAACCGCTCGGTGGGGGGTGGGGGGTAGCGCGGAGGTGCGGGAGGTTAGGGCCCGCCTCAGGTATCCGGAACCTAGTGGAGCTGGAAGAGTTGTGAACACTTCAAATAACCGTTTCAGTTCAAAATATTGTCGAAATGACCTATCTTAATGTAGTTCTATTACTTATAGTTACGTTTTTAAAGGTTAATTATTTGTTTCTGAATTTCTAGTAAGAAAGAAAATATCTCGGGTTCTCCGGTTAGGCAAAAAATACATTAGGATATGTCTGTCAGTGAAAAGTGATGTTTTTAGTGTTAATATCTAGACACGAGTCTTCATTTTGAAATAAGTGAGTAAATTTCTACTTTTAATGAATTTTAGGAGAGATTGCTCTTGTTACTAATTACTAATATTTAAATAAGCCCATCTTTAGTCATCTCTTGTGCCCGTATGCATTTTGGAAATTTATTAGGCTTGTTCTGTATTACGGTCTCCTTTCTATTTTTAATTTTTCTATTTTAACATTCTTTTTGTGGTGTTTGCTTTTTTTTTTAATGTTTTTTTAATAGGCGAATGACTGGTTTTCTTTTAAAAATACTGCTACAAGGCTTTCTGTAAACACAAAATATTCAAGTAAAAATGTGAATTGATTTAAGTGAAAGGATTGATTAAATACGTCCTCAGATATGGCCAAAACTGTGAAGGAGAGTGTGGAGACATAGGGGGCCCATCCCGGATAAGTGCCTGCAGCGCTGCAGAAGTGGGAAGGGGATCTCTTGAATCCGAGCTCTGGCTCGCAGACTCTGTAGAAACACGTGAATTGACCCTTAATTGGGTCCACAGAGCTACGAATTTTGACCGTATTTTTAAGTAACATGCTCATGACCGGTCTGTACGTGGGGGGAGGGGAGTGGTGGTAATTGCTCTTATCCTTGTTGTACAGATGAGAAAATGGAGGCCCAGGGGGAAATGAAGTCACTTGCCCAGGGAGGGAATAGGACTCAGGCCTGTCTGACAGGGACAGCCCTCCTCTGCCAGGGAGCCTGCTCCCATCTTACCGCCCGGAATTGGGAGTTACTGTGGATAACAAGAGGCAGATCAGAGGGAGATCAGCGGGAGAATCTAGCTTATCTAAGGCCAATCTGGTTTATTTGACAGCAAATCCCAGACATAATGAGGATTTTATCCATAAATATTTTAGCTTCTAAAGATTTTTAAAAAAAATACGAGTACAATACCATTATCACAGCTGAAGAAATAGTAATTCCTTGAGATCATGTTCATATGCACCTGGCTGTATATTTCTTGAATAATTTTTTTTTTTATAGCCGGCTTGAATTGTTATCCAAACAAGGTCACACCTTAATTTGGTGGCCATCTCTTTTAAATTCTGTTAATCAGAGCAGCGTTTTCCTGGAAGTAAAATGCAAGCCACTTAGATAATTTCACATTTTTAATAGTAAAAAGAAACATGTTCATTCTAATAATTATTTAGTTTAACATCGTAAATGTTCAGAATATTTTCTTATGTAATTTTTAAATTACATTTTTTTCCAGTTACGCTTTCAAAATCCAGTATGTACTTTATATATACAGCACATCTCACTTTTTTTTTTTTAAGATTTTATTTACGTATTTGAGAGAGAGACAGAGCGAGAGCATGAGAGGGGAGAACGTCAGAGGGAGAGGCAGACTCCCCACAAAGCTGGGAGTCCAGTGGCCATGACCTGAGCCAAAGGCAGTAGCTTAACCAACTAAGCCACCCAGGCGCCCAGCACATATCACTTTTTACTGGCCACATTTTCAGTGTGGACAAGTAACTACCTTATTAGTGCAGTCTAGAGGTTCTCTCTTCTTTTCTTTGTTGAATGAATTGGGTTCAGTGTCACATACAGAGTTCCTTCCTCGGGCTTTGGGTTTTTCTGATTACATTCAGCGGTGGTGGTTCAATCTCTGACCTCTCTGCCTTTCCTGTAAAATGATTATTACCTGTAAGGGCTGTTCTGGTTCCGCTGAGATTTTCTTTTTGGAGAGAATATTCTTCATTGGAGGTGCTGTGCACTCTTGCCTACTCGAGCCGCAGGCACTTGTGTTCCCCCTTTGTGATGTTAGCAGCTGTTGATGGTCTTTCCCTAAACCCATTGTTTTGTTAATATCTCCAAATTAGTGACACTTCAAATATTCCTTCTTGTTTAGTAGTAGGAATATTTCTAGAGAGAGGAAACTTTCTTTGTTAATCATTTGATTATTCTAAGTTGTACTTTATAAATGGTAGTTTAAATTTTGATCCATTCCTGTTGTATATCAATATCCAACATAATTAGTGATCTCTAGCATGTGCCAAAGACACTTTATGGTTATCATTTTGAAGTCGGGAGTTTTAACATGTAATTTAATTCACTGTGGCTTTTATTCTCTTTGGTGCAGAAATTACCCAGTTTGTGGCCAGTGGGAGCCCTTCAGATTGGTTCCTGACTTGACACAACCATCGTGATCTTTGATGCCTTCCTTAGTTTAAGGTGTAATCCTTCATTAAGTGGGTCCAACAAAGTTTATTCAACTGGACTTCTAGTGATGGGCAATTGTCTCTAGCCTTTTCCTATTAGAAATAGAGCTGAGATGAATATCCTTTGTATGTGTCTTTGCTTTTTTTTTTTTTTTTTTGGCCATTTAATATTTCCACAAATGGTATTTGAAAGGGCCTATTTTGCCAAGGGGATGTTTTCAAATTTATGTATTTCTTGCCAATATGGTTATTTTAAATGTTACTTCATTTTAAATTTTAATTTTTCTTAAATGGGTAAGGTGGAGGATCTTTTCATGTTTAAGGTCATTTCTTTTTCTGTTGACTATACTTCTAACCCATTTTCCTTTTGGGTGGATGGACTTTCTCTTTTTAGATACTCTATTAAAGATACTAATGCTTTGGGGAAAATTGGCACTATCTTTCCCATTTTATCATTGATATGTTTACTTAGCTTAACCTCTTAGCTATGCATAAGAGGTTTGGAGGTTTCTGTTTTTGGGTTTTTGTTTGTTTGTATTTATGTAATGAAATTTTTCAGTATTTTCCCGTATTCTGGGTTTTGGGTCTTGGTCAGGAAAGTTTTCCCTACTCCCAGTTTATAGAGGAATTCATCAATTTCCTCTTATTTTCTTCTGTTGTGTAGGATATTTCTTTGCATTTCTCATAGAACTTAAAAATCTTAGTTAATTCATTTAATCTTCATTAATATGTCAGTGTGACAGATTGCAGGGATTGACTTTGAAATGGTGAGCTGCAGTTGTATTCCTGGAACAAACTCAACTTGGTCATGATTATTGCTTCGTGTGTTGCTGGATTTTGTTGGTTGATAATTTCTTTAGGATCTTTTCATCTGAGTTCATGAGCAAAATTAGCCCGTGAAACTCGATAAACTAATTCTAACGCTCTTGGAAATGGAAAATCAATTCCAGGTTGATTATAGATCAAAACATAAAAATGTAGATGAAAACAACAGAGCTTTTGAAATTAAAAAAAAAAAAAAGAAAGAAAGAAAAACAACAACCCATATGGCCTTGGCCTAAGAAAAAGATTTCTTAAACATAGCACAAAAAGTGATAATTATTAAGGGGGGGAAAGACTAGAATGAAAAATTCTGAATTCCTGTTAGGTTTTCCTGACAGTATGCTGCTTTTACAAATATTCTCACCTAGTGTGAATACAAAAAATTCCTTGCCCTCTTAGAAGTTTC